ATGTTGTTGTGCACAGGTGGGAAGCGCTGCAGAAGTAGGATATAGTGATTAAAAACTCTGTGCCACGTAGCTCCTGAATGTTTTCTGTCACTTATGCGTGCATTGCACGGTATAAGCTGCAGTTAATAGTCGATTAATCAGCCTCAAGAATGTCGGTTTGGTCAGTTTTAACGATGGAAATTGGTCATTTTTGGAGCAAAAGCACAAAAAGTTCTCTGGTTCCTGCTTGCGTTGTGTGAGAGTTTGATAGTTTGTGGGTTTTAGCTAAAAAAAAACTTAATTTAATACACAAAATTAACTGGAAAAATATTTGTGATGTTAACCAGTACTGAAAACAATCACTTAATACTTTCAGCTCTGTTAATAGTCGAGTAATCAATCTTAAGAATGTTGTTTTGCTCCACTTTAAAAGTTCTCTGGTTCCCGTATTTTTTTTTTGTGTGTGTGAAGATTATAAAGTTCTGTGGATTTGAGCTTGTTTCTCAAACAAACTTCACTAATTTCTAACAATAAATTAACAGTAAAACTATGCACGAGATAAACAATTAAGAGTCGTGTAATAAGTGCAGCCTCGTTATTAGTCGATAAATCAGTCTTTAATATATATTTTTTTTAAGCAGAAGAACAAAAAGTGAATTGTTTCTTGCTTCTTTTGTGTGACGATGTGAAAGTTTTGTGGATTTTAGTGTGTAGGTCAAACAAATTTCAGTATTTTCTGACATTTTATAGACTAGAAACAACACGTTTGTCAGGTCGTGTAACAGTCACAGACCCGTCAGTCATTAAATTGCTTTTAACGAGTCCCGCGTTCAGCTTTGCATGTAGAAGTTTTGCAGTAATTATCAACTCTGAGGACCAAACTTTGCTCGAACAAGTTTTCTTGCACTCAAACTCTCGATTAAAGTCGACACAGAGCACCAAAATAGATGCCTAATAACAGAAAACTAGTGAATTATAATACACTTTGCCTAAACGTGCAGCTTCTAGCGCCGCGTACGACACTCGGTGCTTCCTTTTGTTGCCGTCGGTAACAAGGCCAGTAGGACAGAGTGGAGTGAATCACCAGATGATGTTTAATCCAAGTCGTGACAAAGAGAAGCAGGCGTGCAACAAATGGCTTCTTATCCGCGACGCAAACGCGATGATTCGGAGGAACTGAGGGCTTGTTTGTGTGACGGAGGAGGAGGGAGGAGTCGGGGGGCCCGGGGTGGACGAGGGCATGTTGTGGAGCGTGTTCTCAGGAAGCGACGGGGAGGGTCCCGATTGTCCGGGATCTCGCGCTTCAGTTGCTAACTGGAGCGTGTCGGTGTTGAGGGAGTTCAGGAGGACCCCCGCAGTCCCGGAGCTGTCAGTTGACAAAAGCGTTACGCAGCCTCCTCGACAAAAACCCCTCCTTCGAAACCACCGGAGCTGCTTTGTTTCAACACTCGGTTACACATGAACGTATACTCTCTGACTTCTAGGTTCTGTCCCAGGAGGTGCTTCCTCTGAATTCTGTGCATCACATGATGGTGAATCATCGCCGGGCTCAGAGGAGGTCTCGCATGTGCTGGTTCAGAGCGATGACTAAAGCCTCGTCGACGGCGTGTTCCTCCGTCACCTGCAGCCGCTTAAGTGACCGTAAATCGAGATGAAACCCGAAAAATGTGACAGACGCTGCTCAGAAAAAAAAAAACACAGAATTACACAACGCAGGAAATGCATCGCCTCGAAGGTAGAAAAAGCAGTGAGACAGAAGTACGATACATGACCGAGGGGAACTGAGAGCTAGAATGAGGCCAAAATAGAAGAATAAAAAGTGATGCTTTACACCAGACTCAGATATTAGTGATAACACACACCAAACTGAAAGACTGCTCCTGAAAAAAGTGAGATAGAAATAAAACTTTGCACATTAAAGTGACAATGTTGTACATGAAACTGAAACTGACATTGGAAATGATATTAAGATAAACTTCATTAATCCTGAAAGAAATTCTTGTGCAGATATTACTCAGAGAAAACACGACATAGTGTAAGAAATACATCATCTAAAAACTAGAATAAGATATAAGCAGGATGCATTACTAAATTAAAGTAAGAAAATGAGTGAAAATGAAATATTGCACCTGAAAAAACATAATGAAAATACAATTTTGCACATTATATCGGCAATGTTGTACATGAAAGTGAAATATTGCACATGAATGATATTATAATAAACTTTTTTTTAGTCTTGAAAGAAGTTCTTGTGCAGATATTACTCAGAAAAAAAACAACATAGTGGAAGAAATGCATCGCCTTGAAAGTAGAATAAGCAATAAGATGCAAGTACGATGCATTGCTGAAATAAAATCAGCAATTTAAAATAAGAATAGAACGGTACAAAGTCAGGGAAAATGAGTAAAAATGAAATATTGCACCTGAAAAAAATAGATGGAAATAAAATTCTGCACATTATATAAACATTAAAGTGAATTTTTTAGAATATTGCACATAAAAATGACGTTACACAAGATACTGCAGTTGAAATTGATCCCTCACACGTTAAAGCAGTTATAAAGGCTGAAAATAAAGATGTGGCAGTCGAAGAGCAGCGTTAACATGACGTTGGAACAGTTTCACATGTTGGGTTTTATGAGAGAAAACAGTGTTGTTGATGATGTTTCAGCCCTGAAAGAGCTGTTGACGGAGAGAGATGTTGTTGCACGGGGAAAGCTCGGTGTCGCTCCTGCAGAGAGGGAGGCGTTGTGCAGTCGTGATGGCCTCTGCCGGCTCTGCGCTCTATATGTATGCTGTGTTTGTGTTGGATGGCGTGCTCGGTGCAACGGTAATCCCGGCCTCCCTGCGTGGCTTCCCTCCATATGGCCCGTCTGAGAGGGGCTCGGTCTTTGTCTCGGCCGGAGGGGTGGGCGTCCCGGGTGTCTGGGTGGAGCCGTGGGCGGGCTGACGGCTAATTGGAGGTCATTGTTTCGGTGACCCATGTAGGTCAGGGGCCGGAGCTGCGGATCAATCAAAGCGTGTTACGGCCATTTCGGTGCATTCAAGCAGGTGTCACTGATGAGATGGTTTGCAACAAGCTTGGCGTGACGCCGCGAGCGTTTATCATTCAAATTCGACGTTTAATGGAAACGCTCTTGCTGTCGGCCATCTTTGCTCTCATTTGAGATGTTCAGAAGCTCCACCGATGAAGGAAGAGGCGACACAAACAGTGGCATGAAAAACGAATCGTGATCTTCATCTACAACAACTTCAGTTTAGTTAATGACCCAAGCAGAGTTCTACCTTCAGACTGTGAACGTTCCAGAGGTCCAGGTCCTTCAAGTCCACAGAGGAGGGTCCAGATTGATCACTTTAATGGACTTTTTCCATCATTTCTGAGCCTCAGAACTTCATCAGTACAGCAGATAGACACATGACATTTAGGAGGAACAACACATCTGGGTTCTGCTAGAACCTGACACCAGATCAGTTTTGGTCAGAACAAGTTCTAGCAGATCTAAGGTTTGATAAGAGGCTCATCGTATCAAGGTTACAGTCATTTCGTACAAGTTTCAAGACTTTTTGGACGTTTTAAATCATTTAGGGCAAAGTTTTGAGTTATTTTGGAGAAGTTTCAATATTTCTGGACACATTTTGGGTCATTTGGGATGAATTTTGAGGCATATTGGGTCATTTTAGGAAGTTTCAAGACATTTAAGACAAGTTTTGGATTGTTTAGCACAATGTTTGAGTGTTTTTGAAGAAGTATTTGTCTTTCTGGACAAATCCAAAGTCATTTGGGTCGAGGTTTAAGACATTTCGGACAATTTTTCATGCATTTCATCAGTACAGCAGATAGACACATGACATTTAGGAGGAATAACACATCTGAGTTCTGGTAGAACCTGACACCAGATCAGTTCTACATCCATCCAGGTGTCTCAGTGTGTAAAGACTAAATCTGCAGCAGTTTAATGTCGATGACAGTCGTAGAAACAACCATTGTTACCCTGGATGTCATTTCTGGTTTTGTTTAGTCCAAAATTACTCAAAAATTGTCCAAATTAACAAAATAATTTTCTAAGCTGAGCCAACAAAGTGTCCAAAATACCTCAAATATGTCCAGATTTCCTTGAAGCTTTTCCAAGACGATAAACTTATATAGTCTCATACTCGACTCAGCCGTCACAGAAATAAACAAATCTTGTCTTAAACGAATAAAATGAACCAAAATGACTCTTGTCAAAGTTTTGTAGATAAGGTTGTGGTATGTTGGATAATTCTTTTTGATTATTCATTTCACAAGATTGGGAAAAAAAACAACAAAAAAGCAATCAACATGTCCAAGATTTGTGTCAGGTGTCCTCAGGTGTTACCAGTGTGAGGAAACATAGGCCCTCTGAATGCAAGAAATATTAAACCCTATTTATTATGATTAGTTTCTATACTGGGCTCCTCTGCTCTGTGTGAACACTGGCTGCAGTTCAGCCCAAAAGTCCCGGAGATGCTCAAATGTTGCTCGACACCTGGATGGATGTAGAACTGATCTGGTGTCAGTTTCTACCACAACTCAGATGTGTTTTCATCGTGTGTCTATCTGCTGTACTGATGAAGTTCTGAGGCTCTGAAATGGTGGAAAAAGTGTGAAATTTGGACCTTTGTAACTCCAAAAACATTCACAGTCTGAAGGTAGAACTCTGCATGGCTCCATTAAATATACTGAAGTTACTGTAGATAAAGAATGAGCCGATTCTGTGGAGGTCAGGAGGGAACTTATTTCAGATTTGCTTGACTTTTAAACCTCAAAGGACCCGCCGGTGTTTCCTCTTCAGGTGCTTGATGGCTGTGAAACTTGTGTACAAACCACAGTTTTGTTTTTTTACAGTCGCCATATTCTAAAACGTCAGTGCAAAGCTCTGACCGTCGGCCATGTTTGCTCTCATTTTGATTCAACAACCTTTGTCCTGATGTTCTTCTACAAAGTGCTCGAGAGTGGATCTGGAAGCGCTGATAACGAACCCTCTGTCTTGTCTCTGCAGGCCCGCCCGCCCCTACCTCTCTGTTTCAGCCTCCACGGCGTCCCGGCCTCGGCACGGTGGGGAAACCCATCCGGCTCCTTGCCAACCACTTCCAGGTGCAGATTCCCAAGATTGATGTCTATCACTATGATATCGACATCAAGCCTGAGAAACGACCTCGAAGGGTCAACAGGTAAGAACGCTGACGGGGTCGGAGCTGGAAGCGCTCGCCGGGATGGGAGACCGTTTCTGATTCGCAGATTAGTGGATCAGTCTAAATGTTTCATTTCATTTTTGAGCTTTGTGAGTGCTCAGCAGCTACAAAAGATGTTCAGAAGCTCTCCATACAAATGAATGAACACATAAAATCAGTCAGTTCCTCCCGCCTGACCTCCTCAGAATCAGCTGTTATTTTAAAATCTACATTAACTTTAGTATATTTAATGAAGCCGGGCACAGTTTCACCTGGTACAGTGAGTGTGGTTTCTGCTTCTGGCGTCCAAAATTACTCAGAACTTATCCAAAATGGGCCAAAAAATATCTTACATCTATCCCAGTTGCCCTCAAAACTTTTCCAAAAGGACAAAAACTTGCACATATTTGACTAAAATGACAACAAAAATGTCCAAAATAACAAAAAATAAATAAATAAAGTTATAGAAATCCTGTCTTAAATGAGTAAAATGAACCAAAGTTACTAAAAAAACATTGGCTAGAATTACTTGAAACTTACCTCAACCTTATCCAAAATGACCCAAAACTTTTCCAGTTGTTGATCAGCTGATCCTGAGGAAGTTGGGGGGAACCTCTGACTGCTTTAGGTACCAGATATTAACATGTCACTTAAATATGCAGCAGTCAGAACCAACCTACAGAAGGGTAAACATGAGGAAGCTGTATATGTCGGTAAATGGGGAACCTGCTGCCTCTGTCTTCCAGGGAGGTGGTCGACACCATGGTGCGGCACTTCAAGATGCAGATCTTTGGAGACCGACAGCCGGGATACGACGGGAAGAGGAACATGTACACAGCGCACCCACTGCCAATCGGACGAGACCGGGTCGGTATCTCAGCAGACGGACGTGTCTTTATGATTCTGTGTTGTTGTCATGTCGTGGTCGGCGCTGAAGCTCGTCCATCAGCGAGGGCTGATCGTGTTTTAAGGGAGGAAGTGGCCTCCTGGTAACTGGATTAGTTTGAGGAGGCAGAGTCGATGTTTACGGCTGCTGGGTGGATCGTCTGGGAAGTCCTGAGCTGCAGCGTCAGAAGTAGTTTCTGGGCGTGTTTTTGTTCGTTTTTTCTTCACTGTGGGCTCATTTTTCACTGCAATCTAAAGTCCTGCTGCTCTGTGGAAACAGATGGAGGAGAAGAGAGAACTCAGCCTTAAATCATCATGAACAAAAGTGGATTTTCTTAGATTATTTATTTTGCATAAACAGAAAAAAAACCTGTGTAATCAATATGCGTAAAGCATTCTTTTTTTTTAGTGCCACCAGGTTTCACTAGTATTGTGGCACTAATACAGTAGCTCTACATGCTGCAGATATTTTACTACATGTTATGTTTAATTCTTGTCTCCTCTCTGCTCTGCCTGCAGTTCAACCGAAAACTCCCCGAATTTTTGTCACATGACTGTTCGTCACATTTGAGTCGCTAACGGCTTTACGGCTGCGTCAAAAAGTGCAGAATTTTTATTTTTTTACAGAATCTATTTGCACCAAATAGTGTGTTTTTGGCAATTTTTATAAAATTACTGTCGGAAACAATTCTTTCAGTTTTTCCAGTTTCTACAGCTGAACATTATAAAAAAAATTTTAAAATTCTTTCGCGCCGTTTATGAGACATTAATCCCTGTATGATCGAACACTGATCTGATTCATTATGGTACATTTTTTCTTAGGACCTATAAATTAAAGTGACGCTTCTGAATCATCCTGGTTTTAAGATTTTGGTTGGGTTTTTTTTTTTTTGGACTAAAGCAGTTGAAGGATCCTCTCTGCAGTTCAACCGAAAACTCTACGAGTTTTAGTCACACGACTGTTGAGCACATTTGAGAATAGAATAGAACAAAACTTTATTGAAATTGTTAATGAGACACGAATGGCTTCACAGTTGCATCAAATAGTGCAGAATGATTTTTTTTTTTTTTTTTTACAGAATCTAGTGACATAAAATGGTTTATTTTTGGCAGAATGCTACAAATAGACTAAAGCGATATAGATAAATGGTTTAGAAGTTTAATGTAAACTGCAAATTAAAAACTTGTTTGAGTTGGTTTTGACTTATTTAACGAATGATGGCTGGAATAACCAACATTTAACTCACAACCTCGTCTCCTGTTCCTTTGTTGTCTTTACCTCTGGAAAGCAAAACGGCAGATTTGGTTCATTCTTTAGCCGGAGCTGCATGTTGTCGTTGCTCATTATTCGTTCAAGGGCTGTTCGAAAGTTAAACGTTTGTTCTGTTTCTGTCTGCTAAATGGTGATTTTGGGGTGACTTGTTGTTTAGACAGTGAAGTCAGACCTGTTATGAAACTCCTGTTTCACTAACCGGTCCTTGTCAGTGCGTTCTTTGGTGAATTTTAGCTTTTATTGCTGTTCTGTCGCCTTTATTTTGAAATACTTTTCCAGCAAAGTGGAACATCATCATTCTAAAAAAAAAAAATGCCATTGATGCATTTCTTCCTCATGGATTGAATGTTGAATACAAAGAGAGAAACACAAACCTGACGATGATGAAAACTGTCAAAGAAAATGTTGGATTTCTCTTCCTTAGTGTGTCGTCTGTTTTTGGAAATACGAGAGAGTTGGAACTAAAATGGAAGAATTAAATAGGAATGTTAGTTTTAGTGATTTATAAATGCTTTCTGCTCCGACAGAGAACCAGGTCTGAATCTTTCTCCTGCTGCTGCTGCAGAGCGTTTTTTTGGCTTCTCGTTTGCACCTGTTGCTGCTGCGTGGGCGTCCTAATCAAATGTTTGGATGCTGACTCATCTTTTGTCGTTTGAAAGACAAATTGATTTCTTTCTGCGCGGCTCTGTCCTTCCACTCCGCTCTGTCCTTGGGTATTTATTGCACATCTCACCTGCTTCGTCCTCAGGTGGACCTGGAGGTGACCCTGCCCGGCGAGGGGAAGGACCAGACCTTCAAGGTGTCCCTGCAGTGGGTGTCTGTGGTCAGTCTTCAGATGCTGCTGGAGGCCCTGTCGGGTCACCTGAACGAGGTGCCTGAAGACTCGGTGCAGGCTCTGGATGTCATCACGCGACACCTTCCCTCCATGAGGTAACACACTTTCACAGTTTCCTCAGTGTGAGTTGCTGCTTTTGCCATTTAGTCGTCTTAATTTCCTGCCGTCTTGCTGATCAAATCGCTCCTGCGTGGAGGTAATTATCTGCCGAACCTGCGGTGATGGAGCCTCAAACTCTTCCTCCGAGAGAATAAATGCGTTTTCTTTGATTAGGGCAACAAACTTGTGCATGTATTTATTTTAACAGGATGATTTAGCAGCTTTTTGCATTCTTAGTCTTACATAATTGTACAAGATATTTATAGAAGTAGAAAATAAATTAAACTGGCAGAAATTAAATGCAGAAATAACTGTTTGAAGGTTTTTATTCTTTAAAAAGTTTGCATAAATTACAGCTAAACAGTTACTCTTGTCTTATTTAATCCAAATCTTTTACAGAGTTCATTGAGGGTCCCCAGACGTCTTTATTTTTAATTGTTTAATCTGTATGTTGTTCTTTCTAGCAGAAGGTTTAACTTCTGACATGAATTATTATGAAAAGTGTTTGTTTTTATACACAAGTTGTTGTTTAAAGATCTCGGGACACCCTTTTATTCATTTGTTTGTTAAATTTAATGTGATTTTTGTCATAATTTTCAAATCTTTAGCAAACAAAAACCGAAAATGAGTCTTTGTGGTTGCTAGGTGCGTCGTTTTTGTTTTTATTAATTCACTTACAGCTTTTGAATTATGTCTGTGTTGTGTTTTTATTTGCTTTTCCTACATTCAGCTGTTAAATCCAATTATTTTACAGACAAAACTGACAAATATTAATCCTAAACTGACTGTTTTTTTTTCAATAATTGATCCCTGACGCTGATTTGTGGCTCACGCAGGTACACTCCGGTGGGGCGCTCGTTTTTCTCGCCTCCGGAGGGCTACTACCATCCTCTGGGCGGAGGCAGGGAGGTGTGGTTCGGTTTCCATCAGTCCGTCCGTCCTGCCATGTGGAACATGATGCTCAACATCGATGGTGAGACCTCGGCTGCTTCCGTTAAGATTCCTCTGAGTGTGTTTGTTAAAAAAGAAAAACAAACTGCAACACAACAGTTGTTAGACGTGAGATTCTACATTTTCATTAAGCAGAAGCTTTGATCCAAAGCGACGAAGGATCTAGTCGGGAGAAAAGTGCCATAGAATAAGTTCACACGCTCAAGATATTATTAAAGTTGAACCCATTGAAAGGATACTGGTGTGAGAGGTAGCATCTCATTTTCAAAAAACAGGAAGAAAAATAAATAACAAACTCTGCAAATACAGACCGCTCTCTCATCTCAGCTCTCTGCTGAAAATAAAAACCTCCACAAATACTAAAATAAAAACCACATACATCAACATAAGGAGCACTTAAAGCAGTTTGAGTTCTGATTGCTTGAAGCACTAAGCAACTAAAAATTTTAAATACAGTCCTGACTCGATAATCGACCCTTAACAATCCTAAACCTGCTATCAGACAGGTTTTTAGGAAAAACCAACAGAACCCATAAAAACAGCCTTAACACAGCGACAGCCTTGGATTCTGACTCCAACAGTTTTTGGACAAATTAAAGTGATTTTTTGTTATTGATTGAATATTTTCTGTAATAAAAAAATAGTAGCTGATCTCTGAAATGGAAGAAGATGGTGTAGAAGTATTTTTTTTAAAAACGAACCGCGCAGAAATCTGAGTGTTTTATTTAAAACCAAATCTGCAAATAGAATGAACACAACATTAAGAGATCTGAAGTAGGAGTCATTTTGGTAGATGGTGTCGGTTTAATCAATAACGGCTGAGAAACGTATTTTTCTGAATGAAATGTGCTATACAGTGAATTTTGACAATCTGTTTTAACATCAAAATGGTTTTAAAATATTGCTTAAGGACATTTATCATTTTGTTGAAATAATATTTCCAAAAAGTCAAATCTGTTGCCTTGATTCTTGGTGAATTTTTGTAATTAAGATCTAGTTTATTCTTGTTGAAGTCAGAGTTTTACATTTTTATTAGCTGTAATCGGAAGAACAGCATCAAGTCAAGATGCTTAAATCAGAACATTACGGTCAAAATGATCCAAACAGCACAATGCAGGGCTTATTCTTAATTACCACCACTTATTACACTAATTAAATGAGTCTTTCATGTTGTGCTGAGGATATTAAACCTGCCACATCTGCAGCTGCTTCCTTTTTGTGGCCAAAATTCCCTCAATAATTCCTACAAAGTGCAACGAAAACTAGTCGAGTAGAAAAATGGATCTGAACAGTTTATCTCGACGGAGAAGAATCGGTTTCTAAATTTAGGCTCCTGACGTTTTGGCTGCCGGTTTCTCGGCGGCTTCGTGTTTCCGCTCACAGTTCAGGTTCTGTTGTCAGCTGGCAGCGCGGCCGCTCGGTGAAATAACACTTCGGCGGCGTCTATCTGCTAATGCGAGTCTTGGCCGGATGGATTCGAACATGTGAGACCGAGTTCATGATTCATTGATGCGATGACGCCTCGAAGGGCAGAGCGGCTTCGAACTGCGATACAGACGACATGCTGCAGTAAAAATATTAGCGTGGCATCAAAACTGTGTATTTGGTGCCTGTTGTTGAGTTATTTTAGCATTAATATGTGGTTATCACGAGTTATAACCACTTCATACGCTGCTGGGAAGCTTAATCTATGATAAAACATGATAATTTAAGAGTTTTCACCATCTGTTTTGCATTTAAAGCTGCCCCCCACAAAAGTGGAGGTGTTAAATATACATTATTTCATGATTCATTTAATAATTTAGTGTTAATAATCTGAATTAGCAAAGTAAACGAAGAAAAAAAGAAGTTGAATTAACAATACTTAGAGTTAGATTGAAGTATAATGTTGCATAAAGTGAAAACACCCGTTAGAAAGATTAGAAAAGAACGTTTTGTTAGTTATTTGTGTGATTATATCTGGGTGTCACCATGTGCCGGGTAGCTGGATCTTTAATTAAACATGATAATTTAATAGTTTAAATATGTGTATTGTGCATTAATCTGGATCTATGAGGTAAATAAAGCTGCCAGACAATAAATAAAGAACATAAATTCACCTGAAATAAAGTCAGATTTAGTATAAAGAAGCATAAATTTAAAAAAAAAACCCCACAACAATCAATCGAGGTTGTATATACATCATAGCGTATATATCTATATTTTGCAGTCGTATAAGGACAATATGAATGACAGCTACTAATATAAACTGCAGTTTAATCCTCAATACTACATCATAATTTATTAGTTTTCGTCTATATTTTGTATGAATGTGGATCTACAAAGTCATTAAAACCACCCAATAAACATTACGGAGCTAATTGTTCTTTATTTCATGCTTTAGTTTAACAGTTTGGACGTATTTTGCGGCAATATTCTGAATCTGCAAAGTAAATAAAGCTGCTAAATGCAAATAGTGGAGTTAAATTTACTTCTTTCTACTTTATAAACTGCTCAATCTATAATAATACATGATAATGTCATAGTTTGGGTGTATTTTGTGATAATAATCTTAAAGTAAATAAGAATAGTGATATTAAATGGACATTATTTACCTTTAAAAACACACATGGAAGTACAATTACTTCATGATTAAAGTATTCAGATTAAATTAGTATGTTATTGAGTTTTGTTTCCTTCATGCCGTCATTATTATATTTATATTCCTGCAGAATCACTGCTGAATCTAAATGCTGTGTTTATGATAAAATCATCTATTTCACTTTTTTTTTATAGTTTCATCTGAACACAAGTAAGTTTAACTGAAATTTTAAAACTCATCCTGTTGGGATCAGTTATTTTCCTGCATCGTGGAATTTTTTGTGTCCTCCCAAAGAGGTTTTAGCTGCTGTCAAGGTCCAAGTATTGACAATAAAAAAGGTGATTTAGAATGTTTTTTTTTGTTTTTTTTTTTAAACAGCTTTGTTAATTAAATTTTCATTTACTCGACACTTTCAGGCATTTTTCGTTTATTAAATTGTCAGAAAAAAAGCACAAATTTCTCTGTAATATTGGACTGATGATGCTTCCTGCTGTGTTTAGTCGGCTTGTTTCTTGTATGTACAGATGTATTCGTCTCCTTCCATTAAAGAAAAGGCAAAACTCAGCAGTCATTCAAATAACTAGAAACTGGAAAAAGTAGTAATAAATAAAAATTTGTTAAATTATAATTTTGTGAAATAAGGTGTTGCTTTTGAATTGTGGTTGAAAAGAATAACTGTCAACAAAACTGTCCCGGATAAACTAGAGGCCTTTGCTGATGATCAATGGTCCAGAACACCTGTCAACAGGTGCACAAGTCTGACTGAGAGTTACAGGAAACAGCTGATGGCAGTGATTGGCTCAGAGGGTTGTTCAGCTAGATATTAGTTTATGGGTCCCATCATGCTGGTTTGATTGTTTTCTTTTTAAATATGCACATTTCTGTTAAACCACAGTTCAAAAGCAACGTCATTATGTTCATTATATTTTTATTTATTATTACTTTTGACAGCTTATTTCAGCTGTTTTTTCCGTCTTTAATGGGAGGCTGTGAACACGTGAGGACGACTGTAAAACTTGTTTTAAAGCCAGATTTTGATGTGTTCGCAGCCACGGGGGTGACTTGTTTTACTTCCCTGGATGGACCCGTTTTATTAATTTACTCACTCCTGGGATGTGTTGGTGTGACTGACGCTGCGTTTCTGCCTCCACAGTGTCGGCCACAGCTTTCTACCGCGCCCAGCCCGTCATCGAGTTCATGTGCGAAGTGCTCGACATCCAGAACATCAACGAACAGACCAAACCGCTGACCGACTCGCAGCGCGTCAAATTCACCAAGGAGATCAGAGGTGAGACGCCGAGCCACGATTCTACCGGATAATTTAACAAGACTCCACGAACGCAGCTCCTCTGACTCACTTCGCCGCCGTGGTTCCACGTAGGCGTGGACCTGCGAGGCACATGCATGTTTGTTTTAGTGCCGTATGTAAAAGCTAATGAAACTACACCCACCTGAAATACATAATTTAGCGCTATATGCACCACAAACTGCACCGCACACCTGCAGGGGGAAATGACTGTGTGTCCAAAGAGTAAATGTTGTAAATTATGCTAGCTTTGTAAAGAACAAATCTTAAAAAAAGAAGGGTAATTTCTGCATTTTTTAAAATTTCATTTCTGTCTATTTAATTTTATTTCTACTGCTCTGGTACAGTTATGCTGAAAAATCATAAATACACAAGTTTGGATTCACACCACACGTGTTCGATGCGGATCTCCTGGCTGGAGTCGTGTTTGTATGTCAAATATTTGACTTCATGCAAAAGCGCAGCCAGTGAACGCAGCTGTGATCTCTGTTTATTCTCACCTCTGTTATCGCTCAAAGAGCCTCCTTGCAGCAGCGACTGACTCGTTGCAGGAGCAGGTATTTGAACTTCGTGGAATCTCTGCAGCTCATGAGCTTCTTTTTTTCCCCCCAGTCTTGTTTTAGTTTGTTGAAGCCGAGTTGTGACTAAACGGAAACTGCAGCCGGCTGGCGTGTCAGCATTTATCTTTTGTAATAGCCTGCTAAAGATAAACATATCACAATATTAGAATCTGCAGAAGAAGTCGTCGTCCTGCTCTTGTTATTTTCTCACCGTGTTTTTTTTTTTTTTGTGTGTGTGTCATCCTGAACAGGCTTGAAAGTTGAGGTCACACACTGTGGTCAGATGAAGAGGAAGTATCGTGTCTGCAACGTGACGCGTCGACCTGCCAGCCACCAAACGTAAGAGCCGCTCCTGCACCCGGCAGTTTGTTCACCTTCATATAGAACACAACAACACTCTGCAAATGCACCGTTAATGCAGCTTCATTGATGTTTTTATCAGGGACTGACAGATTATAGAGCCAGCTGATTATCAGGGACGATATTTGTCATTTTTCCAATTATCTTTGTCATTTATTATTATAATTATGTCAGTGGGCTTTGGTGGAACATTTGCATGCATGGAGATAAACACTGCGATTAAAGTGGATAATTTAAACTAGCTGCTCTACTGCACGATCCAAATCCTCTGCAAGGCACTTTCAGTGCGTACGTCGCTGCTCGGAGGTTCTAGTTGTTGTAGCGAAGTTGATTTTAAGAGGTTGTCGCGCGTAGATGGCAAAATGTGAGGAGAACGCCTCCTGAAATGCCCCCTAACGACAGGTTTGTACCTGAAGCGCACATCTGGCGAGTTGGATTACTTTTAAAGCTACGCTATCGGCTAGAGGCAGCCACCGATTAACCTGAAATGCAAACTGGAAAACGATTAGAAAAAAGGCTTTAAGATCTGGTTTTCAGTGGGCAACACAAGCAAGATTAAGAAAACAGTAGAACAACAGAGTGCAGGAGAAGCGAAAAACTGGTGAATGTTTTGCGATTGTACGATTTAAGTCACGGTTTATTGATCCTAGTCATAAAGGACGGGTTCCCTGGTGTCACATGCTGTTAAATAAATAGCATTTAATGTAAATATGTGGAGTATAAGTCAAGAAACCTTGTTATGAATGACAGGTTCTCTGTTATTACACATGTTGATGCACATCTGTTTCAAATATCTCTTATAGCCTTTTTATTTTCCACCAATTCATTTATTTTTTCAGGGACAATTTAAAAGTAATAGCACCAAAGCTAGCTAGCAGCTAATTAGCATCTGCTGTCACTGGGCAGGTACAGAAAAAGAACAACCACGAAGCAATAAACGCTTAAAAACAATACAGCAATGACGTCCAAAGGTGTGATTTGATGAATAAAACCAGTAAAAACAGTACATGCATTGGGTTAGAAAAAAGAAAAAACGTTCCTTAGTTTTTGCTTTACTCACGCAGACTTTTGTTCCTCCACAGATTCCCCTTACAGCTCGAGAACGGCCAGGCCATGGAGTGCACAGTAGCTCAGTATTTCAAGCAGAAGTACAATCTGCAGCTCAAATATCCACATTTACCCTGTTTGCAAGTGGGACAGGAACAGAAGCACACGTACCTTCCCCTGGAGGTGAGAAAGACGCCGTTTTACGGTCATCTGTTGCACAAAAACGCCTCTTCATCTCCAGCGTTGCTCCTCTCACCTGATTAGGTTGTGTTTAATTAACAAAACGCCTCCTGCTGCCCTGTAGGTCTGTAACATCGTAGCAGGTCAGCGCTGCATCAAGAAACTGACGGACAACCAAACGTCCACCATGATTAAAGCCACGGCTCGCTCGGCCCCCGACCGGCAGGAGGAGATCAGCCGACTGGTGAGTTCTTCTGAGAATAGCACACCTGAAGAAGCTCACGATCGGCGTGTTTGTCTCTGAGGAGTTTCTCCAGATGTAGCTTTGAGCTGAAAGGCAAATCATAGAGGGGCGTGTCCACTCTGCACACGCTTCGTCCTCTCATCTACTTGCTGTTGCATTTAACTTTCCTCAAGCTCGGCATCCAGTTTAAGGAATTTCCTGCATTGCAACAGATGCACTAATATGCTAACAGTGTGAAAATGTTGTGCTTTAACGAGCAGTAAAGCTGATTTTCCTCCTAATTTACTGTATTTCACAACAACCGGTGCTCATTTTAGGTTCCTAACATCCTCATGAGCAGAGAAACAAGTGACTGCAGCAGTCAGAGGATTTAAATACAGTGACATTGTGTGATTTTGGAGTAAAAATTACATAAATTAACCAGAGAAAATCAATCAATAAGCTGTTTGGTTCATTTCTAAAGCAGCACCAGGTTGTTTTCAGGCTCCTAAAGTGAATATTTGCTGCTTTTCTTCACCTTTAATGACAACTAATTGGTTTTCTTTGGGTTATTAACAATTTATAGTAAAGTCAAGTTTGTACCGATTCAGTCAATATGTGGATGGATGTTGTGTTGATCCTGAAAAAAAAACATCTCCAGCATGCATCGCACCAGTCTACTGTACCCACTGTTTCCCACAGTGCAACGCTCTGGAAGTTTCACCAACTTGTAGAGCTTCATAACAACCAGAGGAGTTCTTGGCTGGCTTTATTTATGAGCTGTATTAATACAGGCAGCGGCATAATTCATTTTTTTGGTTGCATTACATTTTCCTTTCAATGCCAGCGACATCATTGCGACTTGTGCTGCTGTATTTGGTCATTTTGTTGAAATCATACGGCGAGTAAAGGGGGAAATGTTCACAATATAACCCGTCCAGAGTGTGCAACAGCAGGCATTTTTTAGCTAGTTTGATGCTTCCAAAGCAACGGAAATGTCAGGAAAAAAAAACAGCTTAAACTCAAGGTAAATAAAAAAAACAATACAAAACGTCCAAAGGTGTGATGTGATGAATAAAACCAGTATAAACCGTAAAGTCTTTGCATTTCAGCGCTTTAACTTGTTCTGCTCCTCTCTCCGCCCGCCAGGTCAAAAGCAACAGCATGGTCGGGGGCCCGGACCCCTACCTGAAAGAGTTTGGCATTGTGGTGCACAATGACATGACCGAGGTGACCGGGCGTGTCCTCCCAGCGCCCATGCTGCAGTATGGGGGCCGGGTGAGTACAGACACAGGGCGGGACTGTGGCAGGGTGAGTACTGGGACGGGGCTGCGCTCTGGGGGCCTGACGGGGTCCGTCCGGGGGCGGGGGGCATCACGGAGCGAATGTCGGGGCGTGGGGCGGCGTTACAGGTCCGCAGAGGTCATCGATCAGACGCACGCTTTGATTCAGAAATAAACTGGACGTTTAAATTAAGCTAAAGAAGGAGCTGCAGTTTGACGCCCAAGTTTGACTGCAGGTTGATTAATTCAAAAGGAGGTTCACCTTAAAGCAATGCAGACCTCTGAGACCTGGAACCTGCCCCATGGTTTAATCCTGCGGTGCATCTCAGCAGTCGTTTATCTCTCAAATACACTCTCTCCCTTCACTGAACACAGCTTCTGCAGCCGTCCTCGGATATATTCATCCCCTTCTGTTAAAGAAAAGGCAAAATTCACACTTGAATAATTAGAAACTGGAAAAAGTAATAATAAATAAAAATTTGTTAAATTATAATTTAGTGAAATAAGATGTTGCTTTTGAATTGTGGTTGAAAAGAATAATTTAAAAAAATAAAACACTGTCCCGGATAACCTAGAGGTCTTTGCTGGTGAGCAGTGGTCCAGAATACCTGTCAACAGGTGTACAAGTCTGACTGAGAGTTACAGGAAACACCTGATGGCAGTGATTGGCTCAAAGGGTTGTTCAACTAGATATTAGTTCATAGGTCCCATCATGCTGGTTTGATTGTTTTTTTTCTCCTTTTAATATTTCTGTTGAACCACAATTCAAAAGCACCGTCATGAAGTTCATTAAATTTTTATTTATTATTACTTTTGTCAATTTCAGCTCATTTCAGTGACTGAAGCAGTTTTTTTCCTTCTTTAATGGGAGGCTATGAATACATCTGAGGACGACTGTAGGTGTGTAAATATCACTGTGTTGGCAGATTTTCACTTTCTGCATCCAGTTCTGGGAGACTGTAGGAAACTAGGAGCCCGAATGGTGTCGACTGCTGAGATCCACCCGCTGAAGTTCAAATCAGCCCAGTAGGACTCTGTAGCCATGACACGAGTAGAGACATTTAAATGTTTTTATGCGGACCAAAGAGGTGACTTACGAAACGAGTTAGTCTTTTTGTCCGTTGGCAAGCTGACAAAACCTAAAATTCAAATTAGAGGTAATAGGTATCATTCATCAGAATCTGAGCACGCTCAAATACAAGACGGCCTTCAGTGTAATTTCAGGCTTTTTAATATTTCCTGGATATTGTAATTCCAACATGTTCTTAAATTATAGTGTGTGAACAAAATGTGGTGAAAGTTGGCAGACGGGCAGTTTAAACAACACAAATCACAAATCTCTTGATATGTCAAGCTACAATTTCTCAAATATCTTTCTAAATATTTAATTTCTAAATATGTTAGTAGGCATGTTTCCTAAAACTTGATCCACTGATCTTGTTTTTTTTTAGTATGAAAAGAAAATGCACCATGCTTTTGGGAAAAACAATGTGCTAAAGGTGTATATGGGATTTTATTTTATTTTTTTTTACAGGTTTTTATCTCTGCAAGTATTTGATATAGCAACCTGAAAGTTCAGATTTATCTTTATAAATATGTAGATTTTATGCTATTAAAGTTTCAGACAAATTGGAGATAGTCGAGCAGAAACATTAAAAGTTTGACCCACTTATCTCGCTTTGTCGTACAAAAATAAAACGTACTGTGTGCAAATAAAAAAGATGCACTGACAGTTTGTCTGTAGGACTTTTGTTTGTAATCTTATCTCAGACAGTATTTGATATATGAAGGCAAAATTTCACAAATATCTTTCTAAATATCTATATTTTATGCCATAAAAAATGCAGGCAAATTGGAAATAGCTGAGCAGATTTTTAAAAAATAAAATAAAAAAAATCTGTCCTGCTAATCTTGGTTCATGGAACAAAAAAAAGAAAGTGCTGAAACTATGTTGATGGGATTTTTTTTTTTTTTTTTTTAACAAACTTTTATCCTGAAAGTATATTATATATGAAACTAAAATTACACAGATATCTTTATGTATATCCATATTTTATGCTATAAAAAGGCGAGTCAGAGAGACTAAAGAGACTATTCTCGCTTCATAGTTCACCCCTTTTTATGGATCTGTGGTTTTTGGTGCATTTAAGTTTGTTTAAAGGTCAAAAATCAACCTTTTTCCAACATTACCGACCTTCATTACTTCCTGTTTTAGGCGTTAGAGCAGGAGTGTCCAATCCTGGTCCTGGAGGGCCACAATCCTGCATGTTTTAGATGTTTCCCTCTTGATTCAATCGATCAGCTCATCATCAAGCTCTGCAGAAGCCTGATAATAATCCTGATCGTTTGACTCAGGTGTTTTGGAAGAGGGAAACATCTAAAACATGCAGGACTGTGGCCCTGGAGGACCAGGATTGGACACCCCTGCGTTAGAGGCTGATTTGTGATTCAAGGATTGTGTGAAAGGGGGTCATGAATGGATGTCCTGTCAACCGGAGGCCGATGAGACTCACAGTCACGCAGCAGTGAAGCAAAGTCGGTGTGAAAACGCTCCGACTTTGACTTTATCTCCCATCTGAAAATGAAAAGGTTGATGTAAATACTGCCGGGGCTGCAGTGAAACGTCCCCTCACAGCGATTCTGCTCCGATAAGATGAGACTTTAATGATCCCTGTGGAGGTTTTGCCACTTTTTACATCGTTGTGCTCAAAAAGAAGCTCCAGTGCCAAATTTAACCACCCTGCTGGTCTATACGTTGGTTAACAAAGCTGAGATCTTATCGCTGCAGCCTTTTCTCAAAGACTTGGCCACTTGCCTGCTGGGATATCGAGTCTAATCGGCTTCCACTGAAATGCCCTTAAACGCAGACTGAAAGCTTTTTCCATTTCTGTGGTATGAAAGAACTTCGCCTTTCGTTTGCATGCTGATGTTTGCTGACACACGACTGCATCTCGGCGTCCATAAACACGCCCTGATGACGCTGCATTCAAAACATGTGAGGTGGGAAAAGCTTCGGTCTAACATCTGTGATGATGAGTTTCTACAGACCTGACTGTTGTGTGTGTTTTTATAAATCCTGAAATGAATGAAATGTTTTGAGGGCATCTTGTGCAGAGAAGAGGGAGCTGCTGACTTTCCTTGGCCTCCAGCGTGGCCACTTGTTTTGGAGGATAAAGCTCTTAATTGCCTTCGGCTGATCTCATTAACGTAATTGAAAGCCGCTGCCCTTTGAATTCACAACTGCGCTCCAACTGTAGCGGTCAACTGATGATGAGCAGATACGAGGCTCAATAAAAACAGAGCGTTTCTTCTCTGAGCAAGCCTCAAGTGCCGGCTTTGTTGTGATGTGTGTCAAACCTGTTGAAAGCTTCTATGTCAGGGATCTCCAGCTCCGGTCCTGGTGAGCTCCTGTCCTGCAGGTCTCAGACGTTTCCAGCACACCTGACTCACATTAATGGATCTCCAGCAGCTTGTCGTCAAGTTCTGTTAACGATCCGTGAATGTGAGTCAGGTGTGCTGCAGCACGGAGATAGACGTCTAAAGCCCGCTGCAGGACAGGAGCTCACGAGGACCAGAGCTGGAGGCTTCTGTTCGATGCAGTGTGAACAACAAAGCTGGTGTGGATGTGTCGAGCCAGTCAGAAGCCTTTAAGTGCATGTTGATGAGAGGGTAGCGGAGTGTGTGTGTCGTGCTGTGGTATCTTTTGCATTGGCTGGTCCAACCGGGGGGTTGACTAAGAGAGTAGGGACTCTCTCCGCAGAATAAGACGGTGGCTACGCCCAACCAGGGCGTGTGGGACATGAGGGGGAAGCAGTTCTACGCCGGCATCGAGATCAAGGTCTGGGCCGTGGCCTGCTTCGCCCCCCAGAAACAATGTCGGGAGGATCTGCTCAAGTAAGTCACGGCAGTTTTCTTCATGTGCTCCTGTCACATTTGTACTTGTTCTAGACTCATTTTCACCTCCATGGAAACAGGACGAACAGAGAAAAGGAAAAAAACTTTTAAAATTGTTTTCCATCCACGTCTCCTCTCTGCTTTGTGTGAACACTGCCTGCAGTACATTCAGAAATCCCAGAATTTTTTTCCCTGTTCACTAATGGTGTCACAGTTTTTTAGTTTTTTACATCATCTGGACATAATCCCAACTATTTTTGGCAAGTTTTTAAAAAATAAGACACATATCTTAAAGCAGGGGTGTCCAATCCTGGTCCTCGAGGGCCACAGTCCTGCATGTTTTAGATGTTTAGATGTTCACCTGATTCAGATGATCAGCTCATCATCAAGCTCTGCAGAAGCCTGACACTGATCATTTGAATCAGGTGTGTTGGAAACATCTAAAACATGCAGGACTGTGGCCCTGGAGGAACAGGATTGGACACCCCTGTCTTAAAGTAATTTTGGTGAGCTGTCACAGCTTTTATCTCAGATTTGTTGGATTTTTAACTAATGTTCTGCATGCCATGCTGTTGAGAATCTGAGATTTCTTTGTTTTTACGGTTTGTCACCTTTATTTTCAAATGTGTTGAGCTGAGAGTCAACATTCCCCAGAAAATGCCTCCTACTGACACATTTCTCCCTGTGTGATTGAATAACTCCAAAGATTTTATTTATTTGCACATTTTTATGCAAGATTTTGATAAAATCAGGATTTTTGAGCGTAACGTGATGAGTTCAATGACAGTTAAAAAGGTGGAAAACCTACAATTCTTCGTGTTTTTGGTTTCTTGCAAAGATAAATGATGTAATTTTGCTAATGTTTTTTTTTTTTAAACTAACTGTTTAAACCTGAGCTGTTTTGAAATACAGGCTGATGATGCCTTTAGACAAAAAACCCACTTGCGCCACATTTTTTCAAACATTAACTTCTGTTTCCCATGAATGCAACGCTGCATGCTGACCAAGAATAAAAATGTGCAGGTGGTGGTAGGAAGTCGGTTTGGGACTTGAAGATGCTGTGATTCCTGTGTTGTTCGATATTTGCGTAAATGTGCAGCAAATTTCCGTGACTGGCGGCTTGTTGCATCATCGGTGTGTCATAAGATGTCGAAATCTGAAGACAAAGTGAGCACAGGTTGGAAACAACAACAAACGGGAAGAAAGGCGTCCTGCACTGTAATGTTTCAGGGAGTTATTGTACGAGTATTAAAGGAGAACCGCTCAGCAGGAGCTGTTGTTAATGGACTCTGATGTACCCTTAGTCAGATATAAACACAGCAGGCTGCAGTCTGAGTGTCTGATCAGGGAACTGTCACTTCCTCCTGCTCGTGATTTGGATGATTTCTAACAAGCTTGTTGTTGTTGTTTTTTTTTTTTTATTAACAGGAGCTTCACAGACCAGCTGCGAAAGATCTCGAAGGACGCTGGGATGCCGATTCAGGGGCAGCCGTGTTTCTGTAAATACGCCCAAGGAGCCGATAGCGTGGAGCCCATGTTCAAACACCTCAAGATGTCCTACGTTGGTCTGCAGCTGATCGTGGTCATCCTGCCCGGAAAAACGCCGGTTTATGGTGAGAAACTGGGAATCTGGGGGCGACTTTAGGAACCGACACGATGTTGTGGTGTGGAGCTAAACGCTTGTGGTCCACAGCGGAGGTGAAGCGGGTCGGGGACACGCTGCTCGGCATGGCCACCCAGTGCGTCCAGGTGAAGAACGTGGTGAAGACATCGCCTCAGACGCTCTCCAACCTCTGCCTCAAGATCAACGCCAAGCTGGGAGGCATCAACAACGTCCTGGTTCCTCATCAGAGGTCTGTGAACGCAGCTACGTGCAGACGTCTTTTAAACGTTTATGTCCCCCTTTCATCTGCAGACGTCTTAAAAAAACTACAAAAATGGAGGACAAGCAGCAAAGGTTTCACATTGTTTAGTTCTTAAAGTTTCAGACAAACAATTCGCCTCTCAGCCTAATCCTAATAACTTTATTTATACAGTACCTTTAAAGAATAGAGTTAGCAAAGGGCTTTACAGACGGGACGAAACGGAAAAGAAGGAAACTCGGGAGAAATATAATTAAACACGATAAAAGATTTTCTGAATGAATTGATAAAGCAAAACCAGAAGAAATAATAGAACCAAAAATGCCAATTAGGGAGGGAAATCAATCATAAACGCAAGGCTAAAAATAATATAAGTAAATAAATAAATGGTAAAAATAATAATAATTGCATTGATTAGAATTATGTAATAAAAATATGAACACAAAAAATTATAAAATTTAAAAACCAATTAAACAATAAAAATGGAAATAAAAAGCGACCATTCGAGGACCGTTGGAAAGTTAAAAAGCTGACAGTTCTTTCGCTTTATACAGTTTGCTGCCTTTATTTTTAAATACTTTTTGCCTCATAGAGAATCAGATAAATTAGCTAGCACCCCCGAAATGATAAACTTCTCCCTGTATAATTGAATAACTGAAAACGATTTAATTTTGGCACATTTTTAATCAAGATTTTGATGAAACAGTCAGATTTTGTTGAGGGTAAAAACTAATACAGACAGATAAATATGAGTTAAAGCGCTTCAAGGGGATTAAGATCTCAAAAAAAAAGTCAAAACTATGCAAAGAAATGCAAAAGAAGGTGAGTAAAAGGTGATTTATTTGGCTTTTCTTGCTTTTTTCTACATTTACTGAGCTTGGAATTGCGATGCATCGTCGGTCGGTCGTTCCCAACGAAGTCGAAACTCGCACGAGATGGTCGGGAAAAAAATCCAGTTACTACATGATTTACATTATTGATAAGATTATGACAGAAGATATGAGCTCAAACTCGTCGTACAAATCTCTGACAGTGTGTCGGGGAGGATTTTTCCGTTTCTTTGCCGGGATGCAGATGTGAGGCTGGAATGCTTTTGTGGCTTCGAGTGGTTCAGATTGCTGCAATGTTTTTCCCAAAATAAATGGTCCCCTGGTCGTGATGCGGTGCAGAACAACGTGTGATGAAGTAATGAGCTGCATTGTTTTCATACATACTCTGCAGCTCGTGCTGTTTAAACTAAAAGTTTGATGGTGGTTTCAAACCATCGCTGTGCGTTTGTGCTTCAGGCCGTCGGTGTTCCAGCAGCCCGTCATCTTCCTCGGCGCCGACGTCACACATCCTCCGGCGGGTGACGGGAAGAAGCCGTCCATTGCGGCGGTGGTCGGCAGCATGGACGGCCACCCCAGCAGATACTGCGCCACCGTGAGAGTCCAGACGTCTCGGCAGGATATGTCCCAGGTACAGACGTCTTCGCAGGACTTTACAGTCGGTTCATCCAACCGGACCTCTTCAGAATCAGCTGAGTTTTTAATCTGCAGTAAATTCATTTAACAAAACAAAGTTTTTGCCTTCTTGTTGTGAATGTTGCAGAGTTCCAGGTCCCTGAAGTCCACAGAGGAGGGTCCAGATTGATCACTTTAATGGACTTTTTCCATCGTTTCTGAGCCTCAGAACTTCATCAGTACCGCAGATAGACACATGACATTTAGGAGGAAGAACACATTTGGGTTCTGGTAGAATCAGTATTATGGGATGTTTCATAGTGGTAATAGTGGTATTTTATTTGTTTAGAAGATTTATTCCTCCCAAAATACACATTTCTGTTTACATTTTTCTTGTTTAAAAGATTTATTCCACTTTACAAAATTTTAGTTTTAAATTCTCAGTCATGAATAGTCTGAAAATCAGTTTTTACCATTTCTGGCTCTGATGAATGTTTAATTTTGGCTTTTTGTTGTTGTTTTTTTTTAATAACCTGCATTTCAAAGCTTCCACCAGGATTTGGACTTCAGAGGATTCACCTTCAATATTGATCAACATTTTACTAACACGTGTCTTCATGTTTGTTGCTCCATGATGTATGTTTTGAATATTCTGTTGTGTGTTTTGTCTCTGCAGAGCTCTGTGTGACTTGTGTTTTATGACATTATTCATGAATAAAAGCTACTGTGCTGCTGGGTTTTGATGTTCAGGTCAAGATTCTTTTTAATAATCAGAGTTTGTTGTTGTGATAAATGGTGTTATTTTGGAGATTTAAAAAAAAAAACCACCCAGCAGATTTTTCAGAGAGATACTATGTTGAGTACTATTTTAAATTTAACTTCTGATGTCTGTTTTAGCAATTCTCTTGTCAACCTTTGAACCAGTTTGCTGTGTTTAAGTTCTCTCCCCCACTCTGATTCTAACTCTGACCCGTTTTGTGTCTACAGGAGCAGCTTTTCAGTCAGGAGGTGATCCAGGATCTGACCAACATGGTCCGAGAGCTGCTCATCCAGTTCTACAAGTCGACCCGCTTCAAGCCGACGCGCATCATTTACTATCGCGGCGGCGTTTCTGAGGGACAGATGAAGCAGGTCAGCGTTTCTTCCTGCTCGCCTGCAGCTTATTTTTGTCGCGTTTTGTTGTGAAAGACGCAACCGAGGCCTACAAGGCGGGAAAAAACGCTGAGGGGAACCTGTTAGAACCATAATTTAAAGATTTTAGGCCACAAAC